GGGTTGGGGCGGCCCGTGCTGTTTGCGACCGCGTATGGACAGCAGGGCGTGGAGCATCTGATCGACATCATGCAGGATGAACTCGAGGTGGCGATGCGTAATTGTGGAGTTACGAGTCTGGAGGAGGTCGGGCCGTGGTTGGTGAACACGGCGGATCTGGACCATTTGGTTCCCGCGGAGGAGGGGCATCCCTATGCGAGGGATTGGAGGAGAGGAAAAAGGGAAAATGGGTTGAAAGCGAAGCTGTAGATGGGACTGTGGCAGGCTTCGAGTAGCAAAGGTCTGGGAATGTGTTTGCTTATGTCAAGGCGAAATGGATGGGAGCCCTTTTTGCCAAAACAATGGTATAAGAATATACAGTATCTGCACTGCATCCCAGTACACAACCCGTCAACGCCGTGTCTTATGCAAGCCCTGTTTATCCAGCAACCCTTCAATCTCGACAGTTTCCGAGGCCCTGCTGATTGTGAAACAGCCAAGTGAAAAGCAAGCATGCCTATAACATGAGCACATAAGGTATAACAGACGCCCCCACTGTCGCCGGCCAGAAGAGCTTGTCAGTGACTCTCAACCGCTGCACATAACGCACTCCTCCTTGTTCTGAATCGAGCCTGTATCAAAATAATCAGTGAAAACCTAACTTGCCGATGATATTTGCAACTCACACATCAGCACCTTCTGTGCATAGATATCACCTTCACGATCCTCGTTGTTCTCTTTATCATCCTCCTCCTGTGTCTTCTTGTCCGTCCTGGTAACAGGATCCGGAAGGCCTTCATCCTGATCTGGTGTCTCGGCAGGATCGGTTGGTAGTGCTCTAGGGGAAGACTCATCGCTATCTTCACCTTCACTTAGACGAGAAGCCTTCTTGATTGCCGCCGGAGCAAAGGTCTTTTGCTCGCTGGTGGGCGGAGGCGTGGCTGTAGGGGTTGGCATCCCATTGACGGATGTTGCGGATCCGTGGCCGCTGCCTTTTTGGGCGTACATTGGTCTGGGAATTGCTGCGTATGAACCGTTATACCCGCTAGAGGTGAGTCTCTTCTTTGGTGCTGCTCGCTGACGCGCCACATTCGTGTCTACTACTTGAAGCTGCTCCTGGTCCACTGTGAACTGGATGGGCGCAGAGGCGGCCATGGTACGCAGGTAGTACATTCCCGTCTTCAAGCCAAGTTTCCACCCAGCGAAATGCATGGAGGTGATCTTGCCCATGGTAGGCTCCTTGAGATGAATATTGAGAGACTGGGATTGGTCAATGAATGCACCTCGATCAGCAGCCATCTGCACGATAGTTCGTTGGCTGATCTCCCAAACAGTCTTGTACAATGCTTTGATATCAGCAGGAATGTTGGGAATATTTTGGACTGAGCCGCCATCAGCAATGATTCTGTTCTTCATGTTGTCGGACCAGAGACCGAGATCAACAAGATCTTTCAACAGCCATGGATTGACGACCTGGAATTCTCCAGCCAGAACACGACGAGAGTAGATGTTCGAGGTATATGGCTCGAAACACTCGTTATTTCCCAAGATCTGGGAGGTGGATGCTGTCGGCATAGGCGCCACAAGAAGGGAGTTGCGAACACCATGCTTGGCGATGTCAGCCTTCAAGCTGGCCCAATCCCACAAATCTGACGGTGTGACGCCCCACATGTCGTACTGAAGCTCGCCTTTGGAGACTGGAGAACCCTCGTAGGTCTCATATGTTCCGAGCTCTTTGGCAAGCTCACAGGAGGCAGTGAGTGCGCCATGATAGATCGTTTCAAATATCTGGATGTTTAGTTGACGTGCTTCAGGAGAATCGAATGGCAGACGCAATGCCAGAAAGGCATCTGCAAGACCCTGAACACCGAGACCAATAGGTCTATGTCGGAAATTGCTTCGGCGTGCCTCCTCAACTGGATAATGGCTGCGTTCAATGACCCTGTTCAGGTTGCGTGTCACGACCTGGACCACATCGTGGAGGCGGCCAAAGTCGTACTCGCCTCGACCAGAATCAACATAAGTGGGAAGAGCCAACGATGCCAGATTGCAAACTGCGACCTCATCTGGTGCGCTGTATTCAACAATCTCAGTGCAGAGATTGGAGCTTCGGATAGTCCCAAGGTTCTTCTGGTTGCTCTTTTTGTTACACGCATCTTTATAAAGCATGTACGGCGTCCCAGTCTCTGTCTGAGACTCAAGAATCGCATACCAGAGTTTCTGCGCCTTCACAGCTTTCCGACCGCGGCCTTCCTTCTCGTATCTCTCGTAAAGTGCCTCGAACTCGTCGCCATACACATCTGCCAGGCCTGGAGCCTCGTGAGGGCAGAAGAGAGTCCAGTCAAGATTCTTCTCGACACGTTTCATGAACAGGTCTGGGGTCCAGAGAGCATAGAAGAGATCTCGGGCCCGGCTTTCTTCCTTGCCGTGGTTCTTGCGAAGGTCCAAGAAGTCAAAGACGTCGGCATGCCATGGCTCAAGGTATATAGCGAATGCACCTGGACGCTTGTTGCCGCCTTGATCGACATAACGAGCGGTGTTATTGAAGACGCGTAACATAGGAGTCAATCCGTTGGATGACCCATTTGTGCCACCAATGTAGGAACCAGTAGCGCGAATGCAGTGAACGTTGAGCCCAATACCTCCAGCGTTCTTGGAAATCATGGCGCAGGTTTTGAGAGTGTCATAGATGCCTTCGATACTGTCCTCTTTCATGTCGATGAGGAAGCAGGACGCCAACTGTCCTTGCGGTGTACCAGCATTGAACAGCGTAGGAGAAGCATGCGTGAAGAACTTTTGTGACATGAGGTTGTATGTTTCAATTGCCTTCTCGATGTCGTCACCATGTATGCCCACAGAAACACGCATAAGCATGTGTTGGGGTCTCTCAGCTACTTGTTTACCAATCTTGAGCAGATATGAACGTTCCAGGGTTTTGAAGCCGAAATATTGGTAGTTGAAATCTCTGTCATAGACGATAGCAGAGTTGAGTTCCTCAGAATGTCTCATCACACACTCGTAGGTATCTTTCGAGATCATAGGAGCCGGTTTGTTATTCTTTGGGTTGATGTAATGATAGAGGTCTGAGACAACAGCCGAGAACTGCTTCTTCGTCTGCTTGTGGAGATTCGACACTGCAATACGCGCAGCGAGGATGGCATAGTCGGGATGAGTGACAGTCATATATGCAGCGGTCTCTGCGGCCTGGAGAAGCTGTGTCAGGACGATAAGGAGCAGATATTGTGACAGGACACTTACAAGATTGTCGAGTTCGATTGTAGTGACACCTTGGTAGACGCCAGAGATGACCTTCTGAGTTATTGCAGCCGCATCGACATGTTCTGGGTCAAGGCCATAGCACAATCTTGACACTCTGGCTGTGATCTTGTCGAATTGCACGCGTTCTTTACGTCCATCTGTATGGAGAGAAAAGGTCAGCACGGTGGCGTGGAGAACGTAGAATCGTCAGAAAGCATTGAGCCAGCGACCAACTTGGCACCATGGCAGTGATACAGAATAAAGCAAGTGCAGGGTCCTGCAACACGTACCTCGCTTGAAGACGAACATCTTGCCAGACTACCTTGATAAGGTTTTTCGAGAGGAGAAATCTGCTTCTAGGTTATGAAGAACAAAGAAGAAAAGGACAGGCGTGGATTATGTTCGATTGAAAGACGAGGGTCATCCACAGTGTCGAGTACGCGCATTCAGAGGGTAGACCTGGTTGATTAAGAAGATGATCACTGAACCAAACAGTGGTATTTGGACAGAGGGGCAGGAAGACGCGTTCTAACAAATGTTAATGTCTTAGCGCGTACCACCTGCGCGTGATTAAGTGGTTTCTTCGACACATGGCTGGGCACTGACCCGGATGGTGATTGGCTTCTTACCATCGAAACGAATACATTGAATTTCCAGGTCTTCTTCTCTCCCGAAGCCATCAGATGCGCAATCGACATAGGCTATCATGGCAGCCCCTACAATCACCCCTACAAATGCTCTGCCTGAAGAAGTAAATGCGGCGTCCACTGTGGAACGTGTTTCCAAGCCCATTGATAACACCCTTCTGCGCCGCACCGTGGCACGGCTGGCAATCAAATGTCTCTCATGGAGGCCTCGAATAAATACAGTCACGTTTTGGACGACAGGCATCTGCTACAAGCAGACGAAGGACCAGAGCGAGCCTTATGCCATGCAGTTGGTAGGAGAAAGAACAACTGTACCTATCCCAAAAATGTTGATGGCCTGGAACGGGGCAAAGGAGAAAAGACACACCTCATAATGGAGAGAGTCAAAGGGAAGGAACTTGGTATCTTCTGGGACAGTTGCAGTACCCATTACCGTGTGTTCTATAAGCTCTGCAAATCCTCGAGTCGCAGTGCCGGCGCTGCTGGTTGGTGTTAGAAGAGCTCTCGTAGAAAATCTGAAATGGTAAAAATAGCATATCTTATTAAAATGTAGCTAACGTGCTTCTCATCTACGTATACAAGATTTTACCCTTCCACTCTTCAATCTCTAACTCCTCCTAAGCCAAGCGATAAATCAAACCTAGTATCTACAGACTCGCAGCTAGCATTCAATATAGATTTGACAACTGGCTGCTGCTTTATATGTGGATTCAGATATGTCAACCAAGTAACAGGATCATATCTGGAGCGCCATATTATTTGCAGAACGTGGGGACGTATAGTAACTCCAATTCTTCCGACTGATGTAGGTCATGAACACAAGAAGTATCACCTACAAAATCAGCAGAAACGGTCAGGGCACTATATCCTTTTATTCATGGTTGTGCAAACCGAGTGTCAAGTCTCCAAGGGAACCAAACTATGAAGTTGTTGTGTTGACCCAATTTCAGGCACAGCGGCAGGTGACGGCCATAGATGGGACAAAAGAGTGACAGGGTGACCCTTCAGCCTCTAACCAGAGTGTTTGGCTTCCAATTCCTCATCATGATGATTCAATGACCCTACATTCGTGTCACCCTACATTCGTCACCCATTCGTCGAACTTTTTATCGAACACAAGGAATTGCCGGTGCTTGATGGATGCTTGCGAATCTTCCATCACGTGAAAGGGCCGTGCGTTAAAGGTCTAAGTAGTGGTGACAAGATCACAGATCCAGGTTAATAGAGAGGAAAGGAGATTAGATGAATGCGCAGTTTTTTTTCAATTGGGTTTTGTTCTACTCAACACCTTTGATTGAAAGTCTTGTTGCAAGAAGTGAAACCATTTGTCCCGCACCTGCCAGTATTTCCATAGCTCCGCTCCTGGAGCGCCAAACAGTGTACCTTCCCTCGTGAATTGTCATCATATCATAAATTGAAGAGTCATCGTTGAGAATGATTTTCTCAGCCATGCAGTCGAGGCACCAGCAGCTTCACAGAAGCGCCCGCTGTGCCTTGGGCACGTCTAATAATCGCTGAAATGCCATTTGATGTTCTTGACACGGCCATCACCCTTTCCATCAGTAACCGCATTGAAAGCCTTGTTGGTAAGATCAATGGAGCGGCCCTCGCAGCCCATACATTTGTCCCTGACCGTGGCCTGGACAGTCGACCCTGAGGTAGTCTCGATGGTCACGGTTCTGCCGCAATATGGGTTGGAATTGCTGAGAGGACCCATGAATCCGTGAGGCAGAGCAATGGCCATATCAGACTCAGTGTCAACAACGGTACCACACGCTCCGAGACCACCATCCCAGTGGGTGACATCACCTGTGCAAGTTGAGCCTCCTTCACATGAGCCGTTTTCGGCAACTGAGCTGACTGGTGAGGGAGTAGGGGCCTCATAGGCGGCTGGTGCGCTCGAAGTTGGGATTTCCGGGGTAGGTACTACAACAGGAGTGGGTTCCTCAGGGGTAGCTGATGCACTTGGGACTGACGCGGGAGGACTCTCAGCTGGGACCGAGGGTGCAGGAGCGGTGAACTCGGGCGTTGGCGAGGTCGAGCTCTCAGCGAATTCTCCTGCGGCGGACGATGCTGCAATAGGGGCGTCCTCTGAAGACGTTGGGGCTGGTTCAGCTGCTGGGAGTGAGGTGGGTTCTGGAGTCGATTCAATCTTCTCTGCAGAAGTCACCTCAGCAGAAGCTGTGGCAGGCGCAGACGTAGAAGGCAGTTCATCCACGTAGAGGGTGGTAGTAATATCGACGGTCGTCCAGACGGTCTCGGTGACGATCTCAGTGACGTAGTCGCGAGCTTTGATTGCATGAAGGGCCGGGGCGGCTTGCGCCACGGATGACAAAAGCGAGGCGGCGAGAATGAAAGGGGTAGAAAGCTTAACGAGACCCATTTTGGTTAAGATCTTGAAATTCCTGTCCCTTGCTTAGGGTCGATACTGGTTTCTTGTAGATGTGAGAGACTGGCTCGACCAATTGAAGAAAATGACTGAAAAGTCTGATTGCGCAAAGAGCGTGAAGTTGGGTATGGCGCTGAGCCTGTAGGAGGGTAGGTGTGCAAAGAATGAATAATGAGGGTGAGTGGACGTCAAGTCCTGTAGGGAAAGTGAAGGATGGAGAATGAATGGATAGGTAAACGAAAGAATGAAAGGAGGGTGGGTTATTTTAGAAGAAGAAAGAGTAGGGGAACAAAGAATGGGGGAGAAGTGGTGTGGGAGCTTGGACTTTGCCGGTACCGCTTTCACGGGCTGGGGCCAGCGCTAACTCAGCTTCGGCAGACTCAAGCGACCCGCTTACTATGTACGTAGTAGGAATAGTTTCAGGGGCAACTACGCGTACAGCTTGCAGCTTGCAGGGGAAGTCAAGGCACAACTCACCTTTGAATCTGCCATTCTTCCAATCAGCATTTTTTCCCCTGCCAAGTGTGTCGGGTGGTCATTGGCTCCCGTTGCATCCCCGAACTGATTTTTCATCTGCCGCCTTGGGCCAGCATGCAGTTCAACGTGGCCGCCATCCGGAGTGATCAGGTGAGGCATGAACATGTTGATATTTTCTTGTACCTGGTTATTGGTCCCAGTCGCCATCCTCAATTGGCGGGACTCGGTGCCGCCTGCATGAAAACTGGAGCCATATCGATCTCACCACTCGAAAGGATTTGGGATGTCCCGTCAACAGTGAACATCCCCAGCCCGTGACTATACCCCCAAATTGTCGTCCCTCAGTCTGGGAGAATGCTGTTTCTGCCATGCGAACACGATTCTCTATGTGAAGTAGCAATCTCATCCGTGAGGGTCCGAATACAGGCTGCCTTAAGACGAAGACCTCAAATCAACCGAATTGGAGGCCTTGGACAATCCGACTTACATATTTTGTCAGGCTGGACCCCAATGATGGGCACACGATTTTGAGACGAAGACCTCAAATCAACCGAATTGGAGGCCTTGGACAATCCGACTTACATATTTTGTCAGGCTTGGGCCCAATGATGGGCACACGATTTTGAGACGAAGACCTCAAATCATCCGAATTGGAGGCCTGGGACAATGCAAGTTACATATTCTGTCAGGCTAGACCCCAATGATTGGCACACGATTTTAGGACGAAGACCTCAAATCAACCCAATTGGAGGCCTGGGACAATGCAAGTTACATATTCTGTCAGGCTAGACCCCATGATTGGCACACGATTGTCGATTCAGCACCAAGGACAATCCAAGTTACATATTCTGTCAGGCTGGACGCCAATGATTGGCACACGATTGTCGATCGAGCACTTCAGCACATGGTGCATTCTGTTGAGGCAATGCTCACAAGTACATCCCGGCTACGGGAATTGAAATTCTCGATGGCCATATCATTTTCATATGTTCACTCCTCTGCCGGAGTGTTGTGGGTGGCCGGGCAGCAATCTGTATGGCCGTCGACTAGCCGGTTTGGTCTTGCTGCCCACCCTCAAACCAAGGAACCCGCGTTTCTCTATGCTGATGATGGATGCCTTGAGGCGTCCTTCGGTTGGCTACAATCTTAGTAAGTTAGAAGTTGTAGTCACCACAACTCAACAAGCAGAACGAAGGACTTCAATTTGTAAGCGCACAACCGAGTGTTTGGATTTCTTGATTCATCTACCAAAACCTGCGACAATCTTCTTAATTTACTGGGAGGCGAAGTATAAGCATCGCTTCACCAGAAAGATACGTACCCCTCATTTCCCTATATGTCGGAGATCGCAAAGTCAGTAGAGTAGATATTTCTGGGATTTTACTTCCGCGGTAGGTGCGACAAACGGCATCGATCTGGAGAACAATTGGACCAAAGTAGGCAGCCTGACTGTAAGGATATTGGACCGCCTTATAGAACGTGGAGAAAGCAAGTTGTGCTGTCTATCAAGTAGTTAAGAGCGCAAATACGCGCACAAAATAGGCTGTACGGCACAGCGAAATTTTGCTCCGAAATTGCGGTAGAGGTTGACCAATCCAACGCAGGCGCACAGCAGCGATCGAACAGAAAGAAACTGGCCAATAGAACCTCTCATGGCAGGGACGCCAAGAGGTGCACGCACTGCATGGGATGCTGTGGTTCCCATTTTACTTCCTAAAGTGGAAACTAGGAGCGACTTCTACCTCCATCACAGCTCCAGCTAAGTGTTGTAGGAGCCGTTGACGCCTCCAACGAGCAGCGTCTCATCGATTGTTATATCCTGAGCAACGAGAAGTAGCTTCAAGAAAGGTCTTTCGGGTACGGCGGACACTGTTCTGTGAGGGCTAGTGATTTCGACCTCTCGAGGATAGGCCATGTCGACCATCCAGAACTAATCGAGCAGATGTGGTCGACTATTCCGATCAGCGCCCTTAGTCTTACAGTATCGTCTTTCGAGCTCAATATCATGATCTGAATGGTTCAACAGGAAGCCGAGACCCGGCTGTGAATGTTCTATATTTGCACTGCGTAGGACAAAGAGATGATCTGGTCGAGGCATATTGCCTGAAATTATGTATGTTGGGGTGGTCTGTGGCCCCTCCCCTCCCTACCTCCCAAGAAGTTGACGGGTTGAATGGGTGGGCAAAATATTACATAGTGTCCATGACCTATAGGCGTCTTGCAATCGGTGAAATCGTCTACATGCTCATTCTTATTGTACATTGCAAATCTCTTGCGGAAAACTTGACCTTTGTGCGGAGTTGCTGGCGCCGCTTCATCAAATAGAAGTAGTTCTTGTAAGTCTTCTCCTACACTTCGACATTAGATGATTTATATAGCAAAACGTAGCTGGGTATCTCCTGATTCCAATGAGAAAGTTGACTTTTTCCATGGTAAATTGTTGCTTCTTCAAAGAGAGCCCTATATGTCTGAAGTCTATATCAGAGGAATCGGACGAAGCTTAGCATGACTTTGACATAGACTACATATAATAAGCCCATTTAATTAGCTCTTGTGAGTTTTTTTATTTGCCAAAGGGACACCAGCAACTCCGCGCAACTGCCAATGTTTGCAAGACCTTTACAATGCAAAGTAGAGCTACGTTTAACGCTGCGCGGCGTTTTATCCGTTTATGCTTCTGGGACAAAGTTTGTCATCAGATACAAGAAGACCCTTTCACTTCTTGACCAGCTGCCGTCAGAAGCATCAAATTGCGACAGCCATAAAGTCGTAAGGCTGAGGCAGGTACGCGATCTGTCAGGCCTGCAATAGGACTGAGGGTTCAGGGACGCAATGCTTGCAAATGTTCGTATTGGTGATCTATCTAGGTCATCGTTCTAGTTGAGGATAGGCCTCGAAGAAGGAAAGAGAAGTAGAAATAGCAGGGTAACAGCGCTATGCCCAACCAGGACTAGCCCTAGTGGCCAGATCCCTCCTGCCTATGACACGATCTGTTTTTGCGGATGATCGAAGGCGGAGCTGACAGAGAAGGAACAAAACTGGTGTATCGCATGAGGCCGGCAACCTGGATGTGTCGATTGAGTAGGCAGCTGCGAAACTGAGTATGTCACCAAAGATAGGTGTACACGACACTTTGGAGGGTCAAGTCCGTCACCCGAATACTTAAGTGCTGAAGGGGGAGGAAAGATTTGACAGCATCGAATTGCATTGAAGTCTCGTGTAAGGGGCTGAGCCTGACATTGTCCGTCATTCGTAGCTTGTGAGACACGTTAGTCAAGATTCCAACAATACCTTTAAAATCGCTTTCTCTGCGTACCAAACGAGGTGTATGCTTGACTTCTTGAAGGTGGAAAGGTGAAAGATAACGTCTATAATTTGGTGGGAGGTGATCACAAAGCAACGATGGCTTCCTCAATGATCATGCCGGGTTGTAGATACCGGTAACTTCTCATTCTGATAGACATAACCTGCCTTTGCTATCCGATCGAGTAAAGAAGCCTGGTTGGGGAAGTGAAAATGCTGATCAAGTCTATACATAGACGAGAAACTTCAAGCTTCTCGAGGATGAGAAGGAGATTGCTTGCCGCCTAATGGGTACACTGATCAGACGGTCAAGAATATTACTCAGGGGATTGGGAAAGCAACTTTACCACCCATACATCTGAGTACTCGTCTGTCTTGCTTATTTTTGCGTCTCATCTATGATTTCGTTAGGTAGAGCTCGCCTCACAGTGCTTTGCTACGACGAAACGTAGACAGCTTGAATGAGAAATGAGTTTGAGGCACCGTCCAGCGGCATTGAATGAACCATTACTATGGTGAGGCGCATAAATAATGTTAATATGGTACTACTACGGCTACAGGCCTAATGTTGTACCCTCAAGCTAAGAATGTTAGTATCCGTACAAAATATACTATGTAGAATTGAAGATAGACGTCCGTAAGATGGCTTGAATAGGACTAGCCTCTAACATAAGTTTGCATTTCATTGGCATCTATAACTGCTTGACATCTCGGCTGCGTCGACTAAAGCATCTCCTTAAGATAGTCAGAAGGTACAGCATCTCATGCAGCATTAACAGCCGCTCGTAGCTCGTCTTACTTGTGCAAAGTATCTTTATCCCTGTGTCACTGAATTGATGACCCTCACTTGTTAAGGAATAGCGTTGCCGCAACCTTAAACGCTTTAAAGTGGGTTTTAACAGATAATTCTGTTGTAGTCTTGGCAAGAAGAACGCCAAAGTTGATTTGTTCCTAAGTCTTTTTCTGTCTGCATTACCCTAATTACTAGACTCATCATAATAAAATTATATCATTCGATAGGTCTTAGAATTCTGATCATTTGTAAATCTTGAATCTCTAAAATATCTTAGTATTTGATGTAAGAAATCAAGTATAAAAATTTGCTTGACAAGTTTTCGATAATCTTTCCGCCAAGGCTGCAGCAAGAATCTGACATTAAATCGCGGCAACGCTATTCCTTAACAAGTAAGAGTCATCAATTCAGTGACACAGGGGATAGCACTCTTGTATCCAATTCTTTATCTAATTGAGAATTTGCAGGACGAGCAACATTCGCAAGATAGCGACCAGGATGCTGGCAAGAGATGTAGGTAAAAAAGGCGTTTGTGAGGGATTTGGACCCGGGGTAACAAAAATCGGCCTGTAGCCGTAGTAATAGCAGCTAGTTATAATACGACTCCACCTGGATAGCCAAAAGCTCTCTGGCAGGTGGCCATTGATATCAACCACAGCAGTACCGCCAACCTGTCAAAGTTTAGCTGTCTCGTTTTGAGTCCGTTCTTGAGCAAAAGTACTCGCCCTAAGCTAACATTACTTCTACGCGGTACGGTAGTACTTTGCTTTGTGTCAATGATGAAAGGATTAAGCGAGACACTGAGTGACAACGGGTCCTCACTGCAGATCTGTCTTCATTTGAGTGCCATGATTTACCTGAATAATAGAGACTTCGAGTTTGGGCCGTCCGCTACATATGCTGTGATACCTACACTCAAGCATCAAGACCCTACACGAGTATGAATACTAAGCCATGCTTCGCCAGTTTGAAAAGGTGGGTGACACTAATATGAAAATGAACCAACGCTATCAAGAGCGCCCCATAGCAGAAACCTCGCTCCTGCTTTTGCTGATGATCAGCGTTCCATCCCAGCTTTTAAGGCCCTACATACTAGCACTATGTACACAGCATCCATGCACGAGGATCTAAAAGCATCACCATTACTTGCACGAATGCATTTGAATTTTGTCTTCGGCTACGAGTGCTGTTTTCGAACACCGCGTATAGTTGCATGCTCATCGATGAATGTTTCACAAATCTTGCATGGCAAGCAGCCCTTGATGCAGATGCAGATCTCTGAATGCAAACAAGAAAAGAAGGGCCTCATACTTGCTCAGCTTAGCCATGGCCCATTCTTGTCTTAGCAGGATCAGGCCTTCCAATAGTCTGTATACCAGTACGTAGTAATCTCAACAGGTGAATGCGGCTGAGACAATTAAGACCAAAATCAGGTGGTCTGTCTGGCGCAGGCCTCGGAACACCGGAAGCTTGGCTCAACTCAACGCCACAGGAATTTAATTGGTTTAACAGACGTGTCAAAAAATTGTTTCAACAGAGCTACTCTGAGCGGCTAACATTCACATTCCTCCGTAGTAACGCCGTTGGTTTTGTTATATGGTCATGGCGCCAATGTGGCCTGATGACTCTTCCGCTTCCTTGTTGTCGTCCATGTTCGGCTCCTTACAGCCAAGGTCGATGGTCACATTCGCCTCCCCAATGAACAGCGTCACCCGGCGCCAGCTGAAGATGTGCAGGTCGAGACGCCTCCGGCATAGGCATAGGCAGCGAGGCCCTCGCCACACACTTTTGCCGGAAGAAGCGCCGAGGACCTTGCCATCGACGTCAGCATGCAGGGCAGGACACAATGCCCCTTGGCTCCTTGCCGAGAGAGCTATGACAGACGGGGAGACTACATGCCTGATTTTTGTACTTCACCTGGTCAAAATATCTTACAAACGCCTTTTGTACGTAGTACATACACATCCCTGTCAGCACCCCTGTCGCTATTTTGCACGAATTTTGTCCATCCTGCAGAATCTGCTCATTCTGTCAGTTCTATGTAGATACTAATAGACTTAATGGTAGGACGAGCTACAAGCATACGATGCTATGTCTTCTGACTCTCTTAAGAAGCTGCTTCAGTTGATGTAGGCGAGATCGCAAGCAATTATAGATGTCGATGGAAAGTAAAAAAATGAATCTTGAGACTAGTCCTATCTAGGCTATTTCGTGGGCGTCTATACTTAATTCTGCATAGTACATTTTGTACGGATACTAACGTTTTAAGCAGGGGAGGGTACAAAAATTAGGCCTGTAAGCCGTGGCCTGTGGTACATTACACGGTCCATAACCACGTTGCCTGTGGATGCGGAAAACAAGGAATGGGGATTCTTCGTACTATGGTACCGGGCAGAAGTATCCATAGCTTGGCACTAGTATTTCTGTTAGGAAACGTACTACAAACGAATCAGCTAAGCTTTAAGAGGTTAAGTGGTATTGCTGCGGCCAACAACTATGAGACCTGGTCCAAAAAGCTTGTAGACATCAATGTGGCGCTGTATCAGAACTAGCTGTTCCTAGCACAAAGCTATGAATCTTCTGCCCCCTACCGTAGTAAGCTCCGGTCTGCCGCCGAGTCTTCTGGTACCTCGCCTGCGGTATGGCCGGGTAGCCCTGACGGAACATACCACGGGCGCTAACGAGGCATTGCGTCAGGTGAAGGAGACCTCGGTGAAGACTCCGGCGGGGAGCGGCCCGGACTCATATTCCTTCTGCTAGCAATGGCTCAATTGCCGTGTTTTCCAATAGAACAAATCTCAAACCAGGTCCTCTACAGTTGTCCATACCAGCCTGAAGTCCCAACTACGTCATTTATCGAGCTGTCGCAGAAAAGGGACACATCAACCACTCCCCCAAAAGGATAGTACTTGTGGGTGTGGAAGCACAGTCAATCGATGTATCCTTACTGACTGCCGCTAGCTCGGCTATGAGGATACCCTTCTTCGGACCAAGATGGAAAGACAAGGAGATCGACAGGCACTAAGTGGCTCGTCATGAGCCACTCTTTGCTGGCGGTGAGGATAGGTGAGGACGTAAACCTTGGCAGTTATCTCCCAACCAATTGTTACTACCTATGATAGAGAGGGATTAGTCTTCTCAAGCTTCATTTCCTGACCAATATTATCTTCTTCGTATTAGGAAATCTTCGCAAGGAAATGGGGTCTTGAAGGTTGCCTTGACCTCATGTAAGCGCACTGATTGCTGAAATGGGAGAGGTGCCCCCAGCGAATGTATAGGATCCTTTAAAGTATCAACTTACTAAGTGTCCCTCACCACAAAGAAAAGGGATACATCAACCACTCCGCCAAGTGGACAGCGCTTGTGGGTTTCGAACCACACTTGATTGATGTACCCCTCACCGACTCACGGCAGATGTACGTAGTAAGTTGACCGTTACTGCCCAACTACTCAACACTCCATGCCGCAAATCTAGCAGCAACATTAGAAGCCTTGTCAGAGACTTGTCCCGAAGTTGCTATGAGCGATACAACAGGAGAAAAGTACAACTGACCACAGTAGCGCTGAAAGGAACTGAAGCTAACGAGTAATAAGCTCCTACTGGCACAACTACTACGATATCAGGCAGAAGTAATGGTAGCTCAGTATTAGTATTAGTATGCCAAACCAGCTCTTAGACAAGTTAGTTAGCCCTAAAAAAAATTGGTGTCGATCGCCTATCGATCATCAGCACCCTGCTAATTTCATTATGCCCCTTACTACCGGAGGAGACTAATTTGCAACGTGTGAAAACGCCAAGGGTGACACATCATCTCATGTACACTTCCGTAGCCCTGGAGAACAAACTCTTCATCAAGACTTTCACCCGCCACGGCTTCATACTTAGCCTGTAGGCCGTGGCTGTCACTTGATGAGTGTCTGCACACTTACGTCAATGGCTCCCACCCCTGTCTGTGGCTGGCCCCAAAGATACTTGTGAGTACCTACCGTAGTACTTACCGTAGCACGTAGTTAGCTGGCCACTCAAGACCAAGTACGTCACGTGCCATGATCCTGCCCACTACTAGTACGTACTAAGTACTAATCCCTGGCTACCCCACATTCCCCGGGAAATCCCTCAATCAGCGACTACTACTACCCAGGACCAAAATAAGCATTGAAGCCTCAACCTCTACTAAGTACTACTAACTCCATCTGAATTCTTTCACCACAGCACAAACCCGGTCATTTGGCATTCAAGACATGTCTCACCTCATGAAGCCACTGCTAGCGCTAATTCATTTTGCTCACGGCAGGTATGCTATGATCGCAGAACCAAAAACTGGGTGAGCGCTACGATGGGCTGGGTCCAAAGTTACCAAGATCCAACATGGGTTTAGGTTCCACCGATCGCCGAACATCGGTTCCGAGTGGCCCCCTAGCACCTGTGGAACTGCTGTGGCACAGGATCTTGCACACAAGGTTCACATCTCCGCTAGTTGCATTACTTTACATTAGGCGACGAAGGACGGTGCTCGGCTAATGAAAGGCTCATACTCCGTACAGGTCATTAAATGATTTGACGCCTTAAGATCTGCAGTTCAATGTTCTGAGAGCCGTGTTCAGACTCGGCAAAGAGCTATTCGTGAGAATTGCCGTGAACGCCAAAGGGTTAGGAAGCAGATTTGTGGCTTGACGGATCATTTTTCGTTGCAAAGCGTCCAGTCCCAAGCTGTTTGACTTAAGCTCTCGGAAAGAAAACTCTTAACAGTGTATTGTGTAAAAATACAAGGAGCATTCCCGGAATCCATGGGCCGACTCATGGAGAACTGTTTTCTGAACCCAAGAATCGTGCATTTGACAATGAAAATTAAGCGAATGAAGGGCTCCCACAGTCAAGAAGCAACTAGCCACTCCTTCACTCAGGCCACTCCCCGACCCACACCACGTAACAGTGGGGACTTGACATGGTGGCCATGAGCCCTGGAGTTTTGGGCTTTTTTAAACGCAGGGGAGAGACTCAATCTGCGCAGAGTGATGCTGGTCCACCTAAAAAACCAGCCTTTTACCCGCTCAACCAATGTGAGAAGGCTTTCGGTAATGTGCATGAATGCACAGATCAATCTGCCTACCCGTATGTGTGGATGCAGGCGTGTCTGAAGGTTTGAAAAATAGTAGGCGTTTTCCGGGCCTTTCTTCGATGATCTTCATCAAACATACTTGTTCTGCGATTAGCGCGAGGATCATCGGTCCAGCCAAGACGATATCAAGGTATGGTCATCGTTAAACGTCGCTGATTGCGGTTAAGTCGCACAGTGGCTTCCTTATGTGTAACAAAAACCAAATAAAGTTGCACCCTTGCTCTTTTTGGCATGCGCCTCCCTGTCATGTCCTGTATGTTGCAACTCATTTGTGCTAGGACCCGCTGACTATCAGCCTAGCTCGGTCCACAGCCGTTTATAGCTCGCTTGGACCACTGTGGCTACATGCTCCAATGTCAGGGCAACAAAAGCTGGTACCATGCAGGGAAAACCTTGATTGATTCTGGACTTGGGATACGTAACAACAGCTGGGCTGACTCCCACGACTAGATCGCTGTATTCTGGGACTACCACAGGGTGAGCTTTGGGTGTTGTGTCACTGGCTAGGTACGTACCCATACGCCGTACATACACCCTGTTTTTGTGGCTATGTTTACGGTTGTGGTGACGGTCAAGAATGGTACGACTAATTTAGATCAATATGCTCATGTATAGACTACTCTGTGGCATGATAGAAGCAAGTGGCGTGGCTGATGGACTCACAACGCTGATCTCTTTCCCATTATGCCTCCTTTTCGAACGCCATCACATTTACCTCGACAACTGACATGAAGGCTGGCACTGACACCTGCTTGGTACGTTGCATCCGCTAGACCTTGCTAGCATCGTGCTCAGGCAGGCAGGCTAGCATACCGTGGACGGTAAGGTTTATCTGCAAGCCTAATCTTAAGCTGGCGTTTGATGAAATTCGATATCGTCACTCTGCATACTCGTCTGTCTCCGTGTTATGACGAGGTGGCTCGGTTGCATTCAAGCTGGGAACTTGTTTTTCGTTCCAAGATCAGAATTATCCTAACTGATGTTGAAGTTTCCTCGACACGAAAATCTATAAAGGAGACCAGAAGTCCCCACGGATTTCAATTCTTCATCAGAACAATCATCCAGCTCAAACAACCACAATCAACTCCACACTTTCCAATCAACAATTTAAAGCCTTCGCTTTATCAAAACCCCAAAACAAGCCAAAATGCAATTCTCCAAGATCGCTGCTGTCCTCTCCTTCGCTGCTGCCGCAGTCGCTGCCCCAGCCCCAGTTGCTGCTCCCGCAGCGGCGCTTGAGGCCCGCACCACCTACGTAAGTAGCTTATTCATTACAGTGACCTTTTTTTGGCTTACTCTTCACTTCTAGCCAACAAATGCCTGCAAGACCAATGGCAAATACTCGGCAAAGGGTTCGAGCTGCAATGGAGGCGAAGAATTCTACTGCTACCAAGTCAACGGGATCCTAGTAAGTTTCAACCCACATCTCGTTACTGCTGAAGTGTTGCCTCTGACATTGCGGTGTTCAAGAACATCCTCAACGTCAACTGCCTCCTCAACGGTAACGACGTCAACGTTCCCATCAACGTGGTCGTTGGAGACATCTCTGCCGATCTGCTCGACATCATCATCAAGAGCGTCAAAATCCTATAGATGATATCTCCCCTGCAGTGGGATCATGGCAGATCATAAAGGAAGGGGCAAGGGTGAATGGGGGCTGGTATTTTTCTAACCACGACTTTCAATCCGAGATTTGGATCGTTTTTGGATCTCGCATGTGTGGGAAGAATGTGTCTGTTCTTTGAGCCTAAACCTGGCTTTCAATGACGCTCTGAAGGATTCTGCACACACTCATTACATTCGATATGTACCCATATGTACAGTAGCTGAAAGTTGATTAGATGAAAAGACAATGTGAATACTACTTTTGAAAGAAATTATCAGAACCAGTCTTGCGAAACTGAGTATTTGAACGCTATTTCCACTCGGTGATTGTGATGTTGATATGGCTCATTTAGTCTTTGGTTAATATATGGACTTTAGGTTAGCGGTAATTGGATACTACGTGCCTAGCTGCGTCATCTGTGTGCTGTCACTCCTGGACCGGAGGTGGTTGTGTGCCTTTGGTTACTGTCTAGTATCTAAGGAGAAATGTGAGATGTGGTTCGCGATGTCGTCGGCTTTAGAGAAACAGATGTCAGCTAATGCAACATCACGGTTTTGTGTCAATAAGACATGAACACGGGATGATCACAGTGATGTAAGGAAAATTAGAGGGTGTGCCGTCGAGCGTTGAACAATGCAGTGTAACAACAATGAGGTTGGCCGCGTCCAAGACCAGGCTAAAGCTGCGGTTGGGTGGTGTGGAGAAGATCTTCGCGGGATTGGACCAGGTTGCACACTAGGGCGGTCACGAGATATGTGGTTGGTTTCAGCGCTAGTATCCTTGCTTGAAAACGGCCCCTGTGCAGAACGGCTAAGCTCAGGTTAGCTTAAGTGCAAGTTTCGGGCCTCACCCGAATGGATGTGCATGAGATTTGCAGCACTGTGGCTGGGTGCAAGAAGTTGCCGTTGTCAGCACAAGTCTAACAATAATCACTACATACTGTGTACTACGGTACCCTCATAAAGATATATTTATACTATACCAGATCAGGTGTGGAGAACCTGACGAGGGAAGCTTCGATTAAGTGTGGTGGTGAGGCATTCGATACTAGATGTTCTTACCACCATGCTATGAATACTTCAGCCAGGTACCGTAGTAGTACGCAGCATGCCTTCCTCTATGCTAGTAGTCTATCACAGTAGGACGCATAAATATTGTAAGTGTGGCCCTAGTAAAATTGCTTCTAACTCGAGCAGCTCTAGAAATAGACCGCAGGCACAATGTTTTACGATAGAACTAGTAGAACAAGGCTGAATGTGTCGAATGCGTTGAACGACGAAGGATAGAGGGTACGTCATTCGTACAAGAGCAACAGGGCTATCTGTTTCAGCAATGGATGTTGATGTCAAGAAGATGCCAGGTAGTTGTTGAGGCCAATGGGATGCAAGATCGGTATTAGATGTATACCAAGCTAGTCCTAATCGAGCGATTTGCGGAGTTTCTCTTGGCGTTACAAGCTGCTGCGCTGTAAATTACACATGCCTCCTACGGCATTAAACTAGGGGAGCTTCGTAACACAGCATTGCTCTTCCAGCACCTTCACCACCTCAACTCAACCCAGGGCTCATCAAAATGGTCTGTGAGAAGCATCATCCGCCCTAATCCTGGTGGAAAATCTAATTTTAACCACCCCTGAATCAACAAATCCGAACTCGCACCTCCCGGAAACCCTGGTAACAACAGCATGCCACCGATCCTCAAACCGCGCGGCTCGGTCTTCAATTTACGAGTAAAGCCCCCCTCCCCTTTCTCCCTCTCCCTCTCCCCCTCTCGAATCCACGCCCTCTAACCACCCCCTTTCACACCTCCTCAATATCCCCAAACTGACCCTCCTCCCCAAACAACCATCAGACCGTCACCGCCCCCATCGCCGCCCTCACCATGGCCGTCCTCCTCTACACCTACAGCGTGACCTCCATCCGCGCCGCCAAACGCAACGCGCAGCTCCACCTCGAAGCCGACGGACATGCGTCGGGAATCACTGAGCCGGCATGGTGTGCTGGACAAGGTGCCGGGGACGGGTGGAGTGGAGCTGTTCCGGGATGCGAGGCCGGAGAACAGGAGGGAAACCGCGAGGATGGGGGATAAGAGGGCGAGGAAGCTTGGGGAGGATGAGATGGAGATGGGGAGGGCGCCGAGGACGGGGGTGGAGGGGAGGCTGGAAGGGTATAAGGGGATGGGGAGGGCGGTGGAGAGGTTTAAGGAGGAGAGGCCTGAGGTTCCTGATGATTAATGGCAGTGGAGTAATGAGAGGACATTGGGTGGCGGGTACAGTTTTGCCAGCACAATCGCACTTCTACGCATCACAGCAAGCGTTCCGGGTTCAATGGGCTTTATTCATGGTTCTAGAAGTCTGGAGGCCAGCTTTGTGGGGTAAAGTCATTCCCAAATGATTCCGGTTATTCTGGTTGTCCTTCTCGCATCCTTGATTATCCTGTCATCCTTCTGTGTCAACTCTCAGCCAGAGCACGAAAAATGACGACCAGCTGCTTTCCATCCCTCTCCATCATGCCCTTGCATTTCTTCATGCTGTTGAGCTGGGGCTTCTGCCAGATCAGCACAAGAAGTGGCG